GTATACACTACAGCACACAGAGTTCTTAATGATAAACTCTCTTCAAGACAAGATACACATACAACAGTCCCTGTCCATGCTGAATACCATTCTTGAATATTTGGCAGTTCTGCTGTGAGCCACCTACACAGCAAAACACTGTGAAAAGCTGAGACCCTATACATTGGGTTTCAACATAGATTCCAGTCTAATGAAGCAATCTTCTGTTAATATTACAATAGGTGTATGTTGGAAGAGCTACAAATTTTCAGGGCTTTTATTAGGGCATTATTATTGATACTGACATAAAGATTTGTGGCCATATATAGATGTTAAGAAACTTGCAAGGAGTTTCGGTTCATAAATGTAAAAATAGTCAGTGACCTGGAACACAAGATCACAAAACAAGGCAACTAACTGTTGTAAAAATGTGGGTATGATTTGCCTCCCCCTGACTATACTGCACTATGAGGGACCTGTCAGATTTAAATTACGGCCCGCATTTCTGAGGAAGCCTGTTAAGAATCCAATGTCAGAAATAAAAATAACTCTTTATTTATATATAAAAAAAGAGAAGTTGCAATCTGTGAATGGTTGCCATTCCTCAGAAAATCCAGTCCAATTATGTGAATAATCTGCTTGCTGCAGCTTGGACATGCTGGTAAACGTTGAAAGAGCTACAGGGTTGATTCAGTGCTATGAATGCATTGTAGTTAGAGTATATGTGTTGGGAGAAAACATTTAAGGCATGTATATATTACCACATAGTATAGGAATTTGCTAGGTAGAGAGATAAATTTTCTCCTGAGACGCCTCTTTCTCATTTATTTCAAGGTCTTCTGGTTGTTGGGTACTGCATTAATTCTTTCCTCAACCTCCTCAAACACAGACCAAAACTGGTCTTGTGAGGAGGAAGCCAAACAGAACAAGCCTCCTTTCACCACTTCCTGAAGCTGAAACTCTACAGCTGCAACCACCAAGCAGGAACTTTGTGGTTCTGTATTCCAGCCGAGTTTCAGGCTGAAATGAATTTTTCATTTGTCAAAAACTGTTCAACCCTTTAACATAAATATAGTGATTTTCTAGAAATTCATCCTACTCTTCTTGGCATTATTGTGCAAACCCAGCAAGAGCTCCAAACCAGGCCAGGAGTTTGCTATGTAAATAAAATTGATTTCAGAGTATCTGCTGGGTAGCAGGCAATATACACCAGCCTGTATTTGCAACAACTATTTGTCAGTCACATGAGAAAGGCATCTTTAAAAAAAACTGGACTAGATTTTATTTGTCAGGCAAAGCATAGCTTAGAAATATCTAACAAGGTATTTCATTACTATACAGTGGCATTCCAGTATCTTACCGTTTTTTTAAATCTGTAAACTGCCTCTATGAATAATCTGTGGTGAGTTAACAACTAAGGTAAAAATTCCACTGCAATGTCCCCTCTTCCTGACACACACTGGAAAAGTATATCAGAAAATCACATATTCCTAGCGGATGAATTTCTGTCAATTAAAGGAATCAGGAGCTGCCACAGCAATATTTAATCACGAAATACTCACAAAGCTATTACACAGGGCATTCTTCTCAATCATAAAACAAAAATATCATGGAACAAAGGAGTTTTTTTTCCACACTTCTCAGCCTGTTGAGATTAAACCTATTGCAATCATGCTTGAATTTATATTGCACCTTTTTACCTGAGCAAATGCGACAGCCTCTTGGAGCTATCAATTTCCCAAAAACAAAATAGAAGAACAACTATTGAAAATATTTTCGGTACCTTTGGTTTTGAGCCTGGGAAAGTTCCTGTTTTTCTTTGAACAGTCATAAGATCTTCAATGTCTACCTAAGTCACCAAAACACACAACTGCAGCAACACAGAAGTCCCAAAGTACTGTATTGAACTGTCAGGTTAATGACTTACTTCCCGCTGTGGTGCTCAGGTGTAAATCTTCTGATTTAATTGTAACAGGTTTATGAACTAACTGATGCTTATATATATAATGCTAGGTCTGTGATGAATTTCTTGATCTTAGTCAAAGGGTTACAGCATTATAACTCCCTCAGACTGTAAAGGAAAAGAAAATGAGTGTTTTGGACTTCAAAAAGACAAGCGGGTGGAGTGAGCAGATAGGTGGCAGCTGAGGCTCAATTTGGAGAAGTATGAGGCAATTCAACTTGGTAGAAACAATATAGAAATGCAGTCTAAATTAAAGGATACTACTCAAAAGTGTGTTCGGGAGTACAGAAACCCAGGTGTATTATGGGTTGTGAAAGGTAACAAAACAGGTGAAGGGAGCAGTTAATGAAACCTACAGCATCCCAGGCTTTATTATTGGGGGCACAGTGTTCAAGAGTAAGGATCTTATGCTGAGCTTGATTAAAAAAAACTACTTGGATCTCAGCTGGAGTATCATGTACAGTTCTAAATTTTGAAAATGTGAATGCATTAAAGACAGTGCAGAAGAAGTTTATAAGAATGGCATGAGGGATGAGAAACCTCTGTTATAAAGATAGATTGAGAAGTTGGGACTGTTTTCCTCGGCGAGAAAAAAGTATGGGAGATTTGACAGAAGTTTTCAAAATGTTAGGAGGTCTGGACAGATTAGGTAGAGAGAAACCACGATAATTCTGTGATCATGATTGCTTTCCTGTGATCCTTGTCTATATACATGTCCAATTGTGACACTGTCTCACTCTCATCATGGATATGTACAAGTTTGGAATGTACTGCACCAAAATAACTTATGCTTCACTCAAAATCATGTATGTGTTAAATTCACTTCAGAATCCACATCCTCAAGCATTAACAGAAATCCACAACTTTTCTGCTTTCATTTTGTTTCTCAATTTGGCTTCAGAATGCTCTCAATGATCCAAGGTAATGTGCTCATCAACATATAATAAAAAGCAAAACTCTCCAGGAATGCAGTCATTGAGTCAGACAGGATTGATGTTGTACAAAGTGGATCACCAACAAGAAATTAACACATGTGAAACATCAATAAACAACAGTCTTGAAACTGCACTAGTTGAAGTCTGGTATTTAAATCAATTCCATTGTTAGTTAGTTTGCTGTTGCACTGGAGATGTTATCTAATTTATTACACCATTTTTGCGTACCATACTGTCAACTCGTCAGCAGCATTCATTCCTTTCACTATACCTGCACCCAGTGAAGAGATCTGACAAGGCCATCAAATCATTATTGGGAATTGCGGATTCTGTGAAAAGGTTTAATTTAATCACAAGTTCTGTCTTCCAAAGTTTCAACTGCAACATTTTCATTGATTATTGTTGAATAAGATTTATTTCTAAAGCTACTTTTTCTACATTGTTGAGAAGCATAACGGGACAAATGGAGCTGAAAATCAGTCCAGGATATTTATACTGATAAAATGCCAAGAGATACCCATTTGCTTTGCAGGATTATGAGGGTCCTTCAATAATCATGCCACTGGTCTAGAGTCACATTAGTTGGAGTCTAATTTAGATAAATGGGAGGTGCGGCATTTTGGAATGGCAAATCAGGGCAGAGCTTATACACTTATTGGTAAGGTCTCTGGGGAGTGCTACTGAACAAAGAGACCTTGGAGTGTAGGTTCATAGTTCCTTGAAAGTGGAGTCACAGGTGGATAGGATAGTGAAGAAGGCATTTGGTATGCTTGCCTTTATTGGTCAGTGCATTGAGCATAGGAGCTAGGAGTTTATGTTGAGGCTGTACAGGATATTGGTCAGGCCATTTTTGGAATATTGTGTGCAATTCTGATCTCCTTGCTATAGGAAGGATGCTGTGAAACTAGGAATGGTTCAGAAAAGATTTACAAGGATGTTTCCAGGGCTGGAGGGTTTGAGCTATAGGGAGACGCTGAATAAGCTGGGGCTATTTTCCCTGGCTTATCGGAGGCTGAGGGGTGATCTTATAGAGGTTTATAAAATCATGAGGAGCATGGATAGGGTAAATAGACAAGGTCTTTTCCCCAGGATGAGAGAGTCAAAAACTAGAGGGCATAGATTTAAGGTGAGAGGGAAAAGACTTAAAAGGGATCTAAGGGGCAAATTTTTCACACAGAGAGTGGTGCGTGTATGGAACGAACTGCCAGAGGAACTGGTGGGTTCTGGTACAATTACAACATTAAAAAGACGTCTGGATGGGTACATGGATAGGAAGGGTTTAGTGGGATGTGGGCCAAATGCTGGCAAATGGGACTAGATTTATGTAGGATATCTGGTTGGCATGGATGAATTGGACCAAAGGTCTGTTTCTGTGCTGTACATCTTTATGAATCTATAACCAGAATCTCAACGTAGACTACGACTAGAACTCTAGTACCCTTGGTGGTAGGTATGCTACTCTGGTACTTCAGTGCACAGGAAAATAGGAAGTCATGGGATTGGAAACTCTTATGACTTTGGCAAGTAAAACCTGCCTAGTTCCTAACATAAGGCTGGGCCCTGACACTCACATACCTCAGTCTAACTTTTAGTAATCAGAATATGAAGTTCCTGTAGCAGTGTGTTCCACTCCAGGATATCCATACATCAACAAAGTTGGGGGTGAATTACAAAGGTAACTTTACATTAACAATCTGCCATCAGTAGCAGAAGTTTTCTGTCAATGCTCACATCTGACAAATAGCTTGTGCCAGCATCTGAACCAACTTCTTTTGGGTTGGTGGAGCCATTGCTGGAATTAGTTGAAAATAGTGTCCTTTCTTACCAATGAACGCTGCAGCATTTGGGTAAAAAAAAAAGTTTAACTTTAGGCTAAGGGCTAGTTCAAAGTTGAAGATCTTTCCTTGACTATTCTATCAGCATCCCATTATTGACCCAAATGTACCTATGAACTACTTCAACAGAGCTAATTTTTACATTCTGCTTTCACTCATTCTTTTATTTCACTGATATAAATTGTTTTGCGATGAAGAAGACAGCTATGTACAATATAAATGATCTGATATGGTTCTGACTAAAAATTTTACATTATGTAGTGGAAGAGAAGTAATAAATAATCTTGCCTATCTTTTCATCTTCTTGAACCATTCTCCTCTCTTCGTGAAGTGCTCGCAACCATCTTTGCTTTTCCTCTGGTTTCTTTACACAGAATAAGTGCACTTCCTCTGTTTCCTTGTTCTTAAGTTTGAAGGCATTCTTGGCATTAACATTAAACTCCTCATCTCTTCCATCAATAACGTCATTTATTTCATATTTGTCCATATCAATTCTGCATTTGTAGTAAAGTATGTCCCGTCGTATTAAATCCTTGAGGAAAAAAATTAAGAAACAAGTGTTATAACAAAAGGCTTTGTAAAGATTCATTCCTGAAAATTACTGATGTTAGTTATGAGAGTGATTTGTTATCAATCAGAAACTATTGGTGGAATAATCTTGGGTCACTGGGGGCTTTCCAACTGGACAGCTTGGGAGACACCAGTGCTATCTCTTCCAGAGAAGGTCTACCAAACCACATATAAATAACAAAATGGTTAGACCACTTGTGGGTCTTCCCCTGGAACTAACATTCCAGGGACAGATTTCCCACTTTGTGTGAGCTACTAGCCAATCAGTGGCTAGTTGATCCTGTGCTCAGCAGTGCCACAAACGGAGGCGGTGGCTATTGCAGGAAGAACATTCCCTTTTGGGGCTTTCTCTCAGGATCGGGAGTTCACAGGCGAAAGGGACTGGGTGTCAGAGGTAACGACAGGGGGTGTCTCCCAGTGGCAGTCACTCTGTCTGATGGCCAGTCCCTCGATTTGATACTTGCTTGAGTCTCCTCAAGCTGACCAACAGCTTGTACTGTCTTTCCCTCTGGGAAGAACACTTGTTTGCAGGCCCACTTGCAGCTGGCTTAATCCAATCAGTGGTGGGCTGAAGCACTCAATTGGCCACCTAAAAGGGCCTCAAATAGCCATGGGTTGGGAATGTTGGTCATGGCCTTTCCCGGTCAGAATTTAATTCTGGTGGAGATCAGAAGATGTTGGAATTGGATACAGTTCCTTCCCATCTAGAGAACTGGTCTAGTTTCCTGCCTCCTATCTTGTCTTCTCTGGGACGAGAATATGCTGCATTATATGACAATACATAAGGTAGGAACGTAGCGATAACAGTGGCTTTTCAACCCATCATGCCTGTGGTATTATTCTATTAGACCATGGTTATATTTAGATTTATACTTATATCTTCACTCTATTTAATTGTCTTTGCTCCATATTCCCTAATAACCTCACCAAAAAGAATTATGTTTCTCGATCTTAAAAATATAAATTATCCAGTATACACAGTCAATGGAGAGAACAACGTCTAGATCTTCACTACTTTTTTGTTAAAAATTGCTATGTACTTTGGTGGTACACGGTGAAGCTCTATTTATGGTTGAGCCACCTTGTTTTGTTGTGCACCAAAGGAATCGGTTTCTTGTTACCAACCCTGTCAAAATCCTTTATCAGACAGAAATTAAAAAGGGAGAAATGGGAAGGATTTTTAACTTATGAAAAGTCTTGGTTGAATACAAAAGCAAACATAATTTCCTGTTTCAGAAGTTGGTGACAGAATGATCACAAATACTGGAAAGAAGGAGCATCAAAGGGAACTCTTTAGGTTGAGAATTGTTGTGGTATTGCCGGCAGAAATTTACTGTTTCATTAGCTGTTACAGCCATAATAACAATAAGCTCTATTTCACATTTTCCTCATTCTACAGAAAGAAGAATTGGAGGAAAAGATACCTCCCTGAGGTCAATCAGATGATGAGTCCTCTGCAACTGGTTTGAGCTCTTGGTCCTATTGCTGGACTGGGTTAAGCAAACTACAGTGTAGAAGACAACCACAATCTTGTGAGATATCATGAAACCATTATTGAAGAAATTCTGCTGATTTCTCCAGGAACCTGAATCACTATTTCAGCACATTGATCATTTGTTCCATTGCTGCGCTAGTACTCCCAAGACTATTATTGTACTGTCTTTCAGTGAAAGTTCATTGCTGTCCAATGGGTTTTCATCAACATAGGAATAACACATAGCCCTTGTCTTATAATAGTCAGCCTTGGTCTACACTTCTTACTCAAAAGATGCTGCAATGTTAGTCTGCTGCAGCATGAATTCAGGGTACCATGCATACATTTACATCAAGGATGGTCACACACCAGCTGCACACCAAAAGAGTTGTGCTCCTTCCTGGTCATAACGGTTACTGAATCATGTAGTAGTGCCTGACTCATCACATGAGGGAAGTGAAAAGCAGCTTGAAACATATGCTGACCCAGCAAATGTTGCATATCCCACTGCTCTGATATGTTGACTGATGGCATTGAAGGGGAACTTGATGCTTTGACTAGCCCTATAAAATGCATTTCTTGTTTTATGAAGGTAAATGCAGTTGAATAACTAGTAAATGAGCCATTTCAGCATTGCAACCTGCCTGTAGTCTGATGAAGTGAGTGACCAGTTGGCAGACTTACAGATGTTCTTGCACAGTTCTGGCACGGTCTGCAGAGATAATTTGAGTTTCCTTAGCCATCAGCTGTTGGTCGGCACTATAAACATGAGCTGAAGGCAGACCCTGTGGTCTACATGTTGCTCTGGCTGCTGCTACTCCTTTTTTCCCCTCTCTGCACACAAGCAGGAAGCAAAAAAATCACTCCCACACCTCATTCTGTCCTCACTCACACTCCCAAAAGGCAAAGAATTAATTGTCGCAAGGATTTCCAAACATTCTATTGATTATATTCAGCATGGAAATCACTGAAGACTTCTCACATTATGGTGCAGACTTAGTTGTCATGGTTGTCAGAAGGCTTTAGCTAAGTCAAAGAGGATAGTGTTTGCTCAGTGATTTCCAATACAGTGAGTTAAGAACAGCCTTCAATACCAGTTCAAGTTCTGCTTGGGATGGTCAGAACCATGATCCTTTCCTTATGAATGGGGGTGGTGAGGGGCAGCACACCACTCATCTGGACTCCTTCTGCCCTATTGTGGGCTGTTTTCCCCAGGGAATAAAAGAGAGACAGGTATTAGAAAGATTAAAGTGGCTGGCTCAGCCAGTACTGTCGGTATAGGTGTAAGGGTGCCTTGAGTAAGTGAGTATGCAGTGCAGAGAGCTTGCAGGTTTATCGGTTTCTCACACTGAGGTGAGTGAGGTGGGATATTGCAGACAACAGTGAGAATGGACGAGCATAAGCCTTGGTGATAGGCAGGTGCAGTAGCAGAGATAAGTGTGAGTGTGAGGTATCGGAGAGTAGATGGTGCACCTTACACTGGCAGAGTAGAACAGCACTGTGACCTTCTTCCTACAGAGATGACCCTTCCTCCAGATGGCTGAGACTGCTTTAATCTGGATGGACACTTGGGATCAGGCAGGAGGGTCTGGTATCATAGCCTCTATTGCTGGTCCTGGGGGATGAGGAAGTCCTACCTGTGCAACATTACATCCAGTAGTACCGCCAGGGCCAGCCCTAAAATGTAGGTAGCCCATTTCCTTCTCTGTCATGTCCGATGCAAATGTCAGCAACCATGTAGGGCATCTCCAGAAAGACAGTGCTTGCCTAGGTACTTCATGGGCTTTAATGATTACATGGGCATAAGGGATGCTGGTGAATCCAGTCTGTCTGCTGAGTTGCTCTGTGAACGGGGTGGAAATCAGACATGAGGGAAAACATAGGGGTGTGATAGGTAATTAATGAGGCGAGTTTGGCAAGATACAGTTACAGTACTTGCTGGAACCTTGCAGTGAAAAATCCTCTAAAAAAACCAAGGTGACTCGGTGGCTTAGTAGTTAGCACTGCTACCTCACAGCACCAGGGGCCTGGTTCAATTCCAGCCTTGGGTGACTGACTGTGTGGAGTTTGCACATTTGCCCTGTGTCTGCGTGAGTTCCCATTGGGTTCTCTGGTTTCTTCCCATAGCCCAAAGATATGCAGGTTAGGTGGACTAGCCATGCTAAATTGCCCATATTGTCTAGGGATGTGTAGTTTAGGTGGATTAGCAATGGGAAATGCAGGGTTACGGGGATAGGGTAGGTGGGTGAGTCTGGGAGGGATGTTCTTCAGAGAGTCGGTGTGGACTTGTTGGGTCGACTGACTTGTTTCCACACTGTGGGGATTCTATTCTATGACTTGGACTTTGCTAAAAATAAATATAAGATTCAGTTCATCAGATCCTGGGGATCTTAATAGGGTGGATGTGGAAAGATGTTTCATCTTTAGGATAGTCTGGAACTAGTTGCCACTGTTTCAAAATGAGGGTTCACCTATTTAAGAGCAAGATTAGGAGAATTTTTTTTCAGAGACGGTCATGAATCTTTGGAATTCTCTTCCTCAAAAAAATTGGAAGTAGATTATTTGAATATTTTTAAGGCAGAGGTAAATTAATTTTCGATGAACAAGTCAGTGAACGATTATGGAGATAGGCAGGAATGTTAAGTAATCCGATCACTCATGATCTTATTGAAAGGCAGAGCAGGTTCATGCAGTCAAATGGCCTACTCTTGCTCCTAATGTGTACGTTCATGTGTACATTCATTCGTAGGTAATTAAAAAAAAGGAAGACAGTAAGCAAGGTCAGTGTTGATCTTTTGAGAGTCAGTCTTCAGAATTAATAACGGAAAATATTGAAATGGCAGATAAACCAAACAGATATTTTTGCATCTGTCCTGACTGTAGAGGACACAAGCAAAGTACCAGAAATAACTCTTAATCAAAATGTGAAAGGGAGTGAGGAATTTAAAACAATTACAATCACCAAGGAAAGAGTGCTGGGTAAATTGTTAGAACTAAATTCTGGCAAGTCCACTGTCACTGATTGACTTCATCCTAGGGTATTTAAGGAAGTGACTGCTGAGAGAATAAGTGCGTTGGTTTTAAATTTTCTAAACTCCCTATATTCTGGAATTATTGCCATCAAATTGGAACACAGTAAATCTGATTTCACTGTTCAAGAAAGAAAGGAGGCAGGAAGTAAGAAACTATAGGCTGGCTAGCCTCATAACTGTCATTGAAAAATTGCTAGTATCTACTAATGAAGAGGTCATAGCAGCCAACTTCAAAAATCTTAACACAGCAGATCAGGCAGCATCAGGGGAGCAGGAAAGTTGATGTTTTGGGACCGATGAAGGGTGTAAATCCAAAACATCGACATTCCTGCTCCTCTGTGTTGCCTCTGGCCCGAGCTATGTTCCAGACTCAAGCACCACAATTTTAGGCCCTTATATAGCCCTGTCTATCCTGAATGGAACACACAATGTGGATAACCTGTCATTTGACAACAG